TAATCCCAGCCCTTGGGAGGCTGTAAACAGGTGGATTAGTATGACTCTGATCTAGTAGTGAGACCCTGAACACCCTGTAGATCCTTCCCTAAAATAAAAAAAATCCAAAAGAAACTACCAATTATTAAATTTGTACAATAAAAGTTCAGAGCAGCACTGGCCTGTACGCTCAGCTATTTAGGAGGTTGAGCTGGTGAGACCGTAAGCTGAAGCTCAGCTCAGACAAGAACCTGCCTCTCAATTTTTTTAAAAGAGGTGAGGTGGGAAAGTAGCTTACTGTGAAGGCTGAGTTCAATCCCCAGTAATGCCAAAAAAAAGTTTATACTCAAAATTATCAAAATTCAATTTGAAGATGATCCAGGAAAATAAATTCACTAAAGATTAGAATACAAATCCTTACATGTTCAACAACTCTGTTCTTCAAATCTTTCCACCTCTTTTCACCATCTTCTGTTGAGGCAAAAACATCTGTCGCAGGACTCTCGAGGGAGCCTTTCCTTAATTCCATTCCGTAGTCCTCCACAAGTGTGGACCAGCGCATCAACTCCATGGTGGTGAATAGCTTTAGGAGATCCCTGTGAACAGTGTAAAGCTTAATGTTCCAACCCTGCAACAACCAAACACTGTCTACTACAGGCTTAGCATCCTTAGCCCAAAACTCCAGAGTGCGCGAAGTCTGAAGCTTCCAGAGCCCCACTGTGATCCACGAGTGGCAATTTCCACACCCGGCTTCGGCTGCGGGTACTGAAGGTGGCTGCCATCAGATTAGGGTGCTGAACTGGGGCGGGCTGAGTTTCAGAAAATGGCTGCTGACGGGAAGCGCAGAAACTCAGGAACAAGGCTGAGGCTTTTTTACTGTATACAAACTTTGTTTTATAAGTAATTTTTAAAACATTGTATAAATTTATCTTCAGGCTATAATACAAACACTAACTGTTCCTTTCAATGAATAGAAATTAGCTATTATCTTACAATTATCTTAGCTATTGGGGCCGGGGAGATGGCTCAGTAGAATAAGCACTTGCCTGGCAAGCGCAAGGGTCTGAGTTCAATCCCTGGTTCCGCAAAAAAAACCAAAAAAAAAAAAAAAACAATTATCTTAGCTATCATATATATGTATCTTCTTTTCCCTCTTCCCCCACCCCAGCTGTTCTTTCCTTTTTGGGCAGTTTCTTTCCCTTTCACAGTGTCTAATGTGCCTTTCAGACTTTACTCTTTCAGTTTCTTACACCAGAGAGACAATACAGTGTTTGCACATGTGGGCTGATTTATGCCACTTACAATATGGTCTCTAGTTGCAGCTATTTACCCATAAAAGCCTTGAGTTTATCTTTTTTTATAGTTATACATTAATTTCTGATGGAATACTGAAAACCATCTCACCACCTTATTATCTTTAGTTTTTTCTACTGTAATCCATCAACAGTCAATGAAGAAGTGTGTACTGAGGGGAACTAATTTTCTTTCAAATCCTGTTTCTCAGGGAGGGCATCTTTTGAGAAAGGGAAGGGGATCGAGAGGAGAGGGCAGTAAAGAGAATTAAGAGTGTGCTGCACCAGCTCCTCACCAGGACGCAACACATACTAGTAACAATATATATTATATACTATATATTATATTACATTATATACATATATATGTATATTATAGCTCAGGCTGGCCTTGAACTCACTTTGCAGCCTAGGCTGGTCTTGAATTCAAAATGATCTTCCTGCCTCAGGCTCTCAAGTGCTGGGATTATAGGGGTGCACCACCACACCCAGCAAGAATAGAATTTTTGGGCTGGTGAGATGGCTCAGTGGTCTAAAGCACCTACTCAGAACAAGTTTAGCAAAGCACAGGGACCTCGGTTCAATCCCCAGCACCACATGCCAGCCAGCCCCACCCCCTGGTGGGCTGAGCTGGCCACACACACACACACACACACACACACAAAATTAAAAAAAAAAAGAATAGAATTTTTAAAAAATAATGTGTCTACTGAGACTAGTACGCTAATTACAAAATCACTTACTTGTACTTGGGAATTTCTTCTAACTTCTTATCAGCACTTATTCGGTGAACCAAATCTGACTGTTCATTGTCAAAAGGAGCCAGGATAACGTAGAGAACAACACTTTTCAGAGCCTGAAAAAGTTATGGTTATAGGTTATACGCACTATCAGAAATGTAATGTAAGGGCCGGGGAGATGGTTCAGTAGAAGAAATGTAATGTAAAGCTGGGCATGGTGGTGCATGCTTGTGATCCCAGCACTCGGGAGGCTGAGGCAGGACAATCGGTACAAGTTCAAGACCTGCCTGGCTACAGACTGAGCTCAAGGCCAGCTTGAACTACATATGGAAATCCTGTCTCAAAAACAAAACAAAACAAAACAAAAAAACGCCATGGAAACTTTGGTCAAGAACTAAAACAATTTATGTATTATTAGTATTATTTCATTTTTTATTTTTTTGCAGAACCAGGGATTGAACTCAGGCCCTTCCACTTGCCAGGCAAGTGTTTATTCTACTGAGCCATCTCCCCGGCTATTTTTTTTTTCTGAAAACCAGATCCTGATATGGTTTGGACTGGCCTTGAACTCACTATGTGGCCCAGGCTACCACCAAACACAGCAATCTTCCTGCCTCAGTCTCCAGTGTGCTGAGATTATAGGCATATGCGTTGCCATATATGACCTATTGCTTTTTAATTCTGTACTCAAAAAGCTTTAGGGGGCTGGGGAGATGGCTCAGTAGAATAAGCGTTTCCCTGGCAAGTGCAAGGGCCTGAGTTCAATTCCTGGTTCTGCCCCCCCACAAAAAAAAAAGTTTTAGGAGGAAAATCTTATAAGGGTGCCTTTTCAACATCTTAAATTTCTTCTTCTTCTTTTTTTTTTTAATTATGTATTTGGCACAGGGTCTCATTATACAGCTTGGACCAATAGTGATCCTCCTGTTTTCAGCCTGCCCAGTGCTGGGATTACAGGCATGCGCCACCATACCCAGTCTTTCAATGTCTTTTCTGTAATATTTTTCCTAAAACTACTACACTAAATATTTGAAGTGTTACCTGCACTGACATGTTTATTTTATTAATGTATTTTACAACAGGGTCTACAGGGTCTCACTACATAGATAGGTCTCATAGTGATCCTTCTGTTTTCAGCCCCCAAGCGCTGGGATTACAGCTGTGTACCCCCACGTCCAGCCCAGTCTGAGCTGCTATCTCAGTGCACCCCAGGGGCGGGGCCAGCATGGCACCCCAGGGAGTAAACGCCGGTCACTGCGCCTGCATTAGCAAGGCACTTTAGTCCGTTGAACTATCTGGCCAGCCCTCTGACATTTTTAAATATTCAGTTTGGTAAGTATATAAAGGAGAAGTTCTTATAATAAGTTAGCAGCATAAATGTGAAACACATACAAGCTCTTTAAAAGAAGATTGTTAAAAAAGTTTCCAAAGTAATGCTGAGTCTCAACTATAGAACCTCTGTTGAACATTAACCCTTTAGTCCTTCAAAATTGATACATGATTTAAATTGGCCCAAGATATACTAAGTACCAACACAGTGAACAAAAAGCGACACCATAGGCTTGCCCTTGCCCAGATTTGTCGCTGTAGCAATTTGGAAACAAAAACTCCTTCCTAAGGAGCACCATGTGAGTTCTCATCAGCTGCTTTACCTGTTGCCACTTTTCACTTTCTGCCTGTATACACGGAGTGTCATAGATTGCTCTGTAGTGCTTACAAATGGACAGGTAGGATCCCTCATGCTGATCCAGCTGAATCATTAAATTATAGTATTTCAACTTTAATTTCTGGAAGAAAAAAAAAAGATAAAGTGGGATTGATGGGCTTTATTCAAACATTTTCACAGTACACAAGTAGTTGGATACATGCTCACCTCTGTGTTTTCTTCCTGGAAAAACTTGGTATTAATCTTCTTGCTGATGATCTGTGTCCGAATGTAATCCTTCACAGCCAGGCACAGCCGCATCTGCTCCAGGATAAACTCCACTCGCTCCTTCTTTTCCATGGACCCGTAGGTCTCCACCTAGCACAGTTAATTCCTCAGGTAAGTTTAGAATACTTACTGATATTTATGATTTGTTACAGATTAAGGTAGCTATTTAAATATCCACCTTGTCAAGTAAGAACAGCATGCATACATATAAAGGGAAGATGATCCTATAAATAGCCAGTTACCTTTAGGAAATTACAATGTAAATACTTTCTGGAACAATAAAATGGATTTTTCCCCTTCTGGTGTAACTGCGAACTCCAACGCCATGTATCCGCCATGTATCCGCTCGATCGTGCAGCCACCAGCACAGAGCAGACACACAGCCCCTCCCGCCCGAGCTCCCTGGGCTACCTTCTTGTTCAGCCCACACTTCCTCTCTTCATGAGCTCTGACAAGCGCGTCTGTCTTTCCAAGTATCTCAAAAGCACTGTGCCATCTTTGGACAATGTCTTTTTTCCTTCTTTTCTGAGATGGGACCTTGCTCTATAGTTCAGGGCGGCCTTGAACTTGCAGCAATCCTGTTTTGTTTCATCCACAGTGTATCTGAGTTCTGCTTCACATCACTGCTAGCAGTTGTACTGGTTTTTAATTTAACCTTTCTAGTGGATATGTAATTACATCTCAAGGCTGTTTTTTTACTAATGACTAACACACAAAAAAATTCATAGGCTTTCAATTTACACTGCAGCCAAAACCATTATATAAAAAAGTATTTTTCTTTTTAAATGCATATAACAAGGCTGACATGACATCTAATACAAAATGCAGAGCAATATCAAATATGATGTAGGGAAACTTTTTTTCTTCCAAGTGCCAGGTATAAGTGTACAGAATTCAAATGTTCAAATCACTGCACCAACTTAAGACAGATCTACTGATCTTTCTTTAAAACCTTCTTAGCAGCTAAACTTAAATGACCTGTGAGTGCACATACTTTCTAGTGGCCAGAATGACCTCACACCCTGATGCACTGACTCTTGGTGGTTCAGCACAAAGGGATGAGGTGCAAAAATAAATGACTTCCACCAGATACTGCGGACTCAAGACAAAGGTTTACAAATGCCAACAGCGCCCCACCTGCAACTCTTGTAAGATGGAGGCTGCTTCTTTGACGTCGCCATTTTGTTCTTTTATGGTTGCTAATGTTTTAGTCAGTCGAGCACGCTCAATTTCAACGTAAATCTACAAATAAGACAAAAACATTATCAAGGGGCTGGAGAGATGGCTCAGTGGTCTAAAGCACCTACTTGAGGCAGGCTTGGCAAAGCATAGGGACCTCGGTTCGATCCTCCAGCACCACATGCCAGCCAGCCCCGCCCCCTGGTGGGCTGGGCTGGCCACACACACACACACACAATAAATAAATGTAATGAAAAAATAAATAAATATTAAAAAAAAAAAAAATTATCAAAATTCCTGCCAAAATGTGTAGAAAGTTAAAAGAACTGAACTGTCATACTTGGTACAAGAACATGTACCTTACCGCTGTTGTGCAGTGTCTGTTCCACAACTAGTCACGAGATGTTTTACACTTCAGAGCTATCATTTTATTTATTTTTTATTTTTACTTTTTTGGCGGAACCAGGGATTGAACTCAGGCCCTTGCGCTTGCCAGGGAAGCGCTTATTCTACTGAGCCACCTCCCAGGCCCCAGAGCTATCATTTTAGAGGCAATCTCTATCTACTGCCTTAATCTGCTTCACGGTGTGTGTGTTGTGGAATTATGCTCAGGGCCTTAGGCTTGCCAAGCATGTGCCCTACCAGTGACCGTACTCCAGCCCAACTCATCCTTACCTTGCTAAGGTATTAAAGCTGCTAGTATTTTTGTAGCTGTAAGTAATGTTAATAGATTTATCATTTCCAACAAATCAACACTAGGAATATAACTATGACCTAAAGAGCTTAGGGCAGCGATGGCCCACTGCAGTCCCTGGGCCACGGGTTCACCGCCACTGGTCTAGGGAATAAGTTGTCATGCCCTGTATCAAACTATTTACACGGTGTCCTAAATTTACCACGTGTTTCTAAATTGTCATCTTGGCTTTTTATGAGATGAGGGCCTCACTACAATCTTTTAAATATAGCAAGACAACAGAAAGGGATGCACAAAGATAATGGCTGAATTAAGGTGATGACAGTTTTGTGAATGTCTTATAAAAAATAAATGTATGCAGGTACTGCGTCATGTGCCTTGGCTTTGAAAATGAAAATATGCATAGGTGCTATACCTACATAAAATGCCCAATACATAAATATTTCTGAATGCAGATACAAGCGAACTTACCACTGTGAGTCACGCCAACAGAAAACTTACCTTTCAAGGGCCTGCCGGTTAGCTCAGTAGTTTAAGCAACTGCTTATGCAAATGCAGTCAGGCCCACAATACAGCGGTTCGAGCCACAGACTTTACAAGACCCACCCTTAAGGCAGCCTGAGCCAGCCAAAAAAAGAAACTCACCTTTCCTTCTGTAACCATTCGCAGTGTATCAATCAACCGAAGCTTGACTGGGAGGTCTGTGATTTCCTCAACGTAAGTACAGCACTGCTGAACCATTTTTGCAACAGCCTAAAATATTAAAAAACTATTCATAAACAAAACTTATTCCTCATACGGGATAGACGGACATTCTGATAAAGGAGCTATGGTCAAATCTGGTCTTTCCAGCTGCTGTGATGGCTCATGCCTCTAACCCCAGCATGCAGGAGGCTGAGGCAGGAGGATCGCTGTGGGTTTGAGGCCAGTCTGGGCTACACAGTGAGCTCAAGGTCAGTCTGAACTATATGGCAAGCCTGTGTTTCAAAATATCAACCCCCAAAACAAGCAACCAAAAACTGGTCCTCTTAACTGACTCGAGAGACTGAAATCCCTACAGAAGAACATCAAAGTGCTTCAATCTCCCTGACAACTACTGTGCCCTCAGCAGCCAGGAGCAAATCCATACAGAGAAGGAAAACCTTGCATGCGAACATGCAGCCAAGCAAAAAACACGGGAAATGTTAGACTAATGGAAATGGAGAAAAGAAAAGCGGATTCCACAGTGACGTGGGCCACGAGCATAGGATACTGCCAGGGAGGACCAGAGTCTGTGGCAGAGGTGCAGGATGGAACAGTTCTACCTCTGTCCTGGGGTGGCGAGGAGCCATCACCCACAGCTATCTCAGGAAAATACGGCCCTCAAAGTCAGCCATTCACTTGTGTCCAGTTTCCTCCCAAGACCGCATCCCTGAGGTGCCAATACCTCATGATCAAGATCAGATGGCTGCCGATAGTGCTGTAAATTTTGTGCAAATACACCAAGTAACTGTTTGGATTTTGGGGACCATGCAAGTCTCTGTGACAAATACTCAACTCAGCATTTGTGAGTCAAAAACTGACAGAGACAACACATACTCTAATGGCTGTGTTCTTCAGTAAGTTTATTTACACAAAAAAGCAGCAGGTGGGACTTGTCTTTTGTTCACCATCTGCCACCCTCTAAGTAGACTTTAAATAGCCTATTATAGTCACTATTCATAACAGGATCCTGAATCACCAATGCTAAATTTACATTAAGTATAATTTAAGGTTCCTATTAAAAAATCTAATGTTGAAGTAGCTCACTTCTAACTGCTGGCTACTCAGACGCTCAGGGGTTCCGGAAAGCCAAGGGACTTTGAGGACGCATCCATGTATGAGTGTGCACACTCGTTTGTACTTTTTCCTCTTTCCCTCACTACCAAGACACTATGTCCCCCAGGCTGGCCTCAAATGCCCCAGCTCAGCAATCTGGGACCACAAATACATGCCACCGTGCCTAGCTAAAGCTTAGTGCAAGGATCCAAGATGTCCAGTATTTTAGAAAAACATACATCCCTCTAAATGCATTATAGTAATGACTTCTAGAAAAGCACCTAACTTGGTAACAACATGAACAGGACTGGGGATGTAACGCTAAAGAAGAGCCCTTTGTCTGGCAGGCCCAAAGCCCAGGGTTCCGCCCCCAGCAACTCTGCCCCCACCAAACCAAACTGAACCAACCCAACCACCAAACAATAAAAAAAGGATAAAAACAAAACCATAATATCAACATTCTAACTTGAAGTATCCTACTGTTCTCTGAAAAAAATGCAGGAAAGTCTTTAGCGAAGTCATGGTTGGTGTGAAACCTGGACTAAGGTGACCGTTAGCTTAAAACTCTTAATTTGAAGCAATGTAGATTTTTTTTCCTTTGTAATAGTAAAGGCAGAACCCAGGGTCTTCACACTGAGCTTTGTCACTGGCTCCTTTTTTAATTTTTTTTCTTTGAAAGAAGGTTTTGCCAAGTCACTCAATAATTCAGGATGGACTAGAACTCTTGATCCTCCTCCCTTTGCCTCCCAGAATGCTGGAATTATAGGCACGTGCTGCCTGCAACTTTATCCAGGTAAGAACGCTACTTTCTTTTTTTTTCCTTTGTGGAACCGGGGATTGAACTCAGGTCCTTGTGCTTGCCAAGGAAGCACTTATTTCACTGAGCCATCTCCCCAGCCCAAAAATGTTAGTTTCTAAAACTGCTAAAACATTTCTTTGGTTAAAAAACAGTTATGGGGCAAGGACAGGACATTACAAGTCCGGTATGGAGTCCAGTATGCTACAGGGCAAAGAGCAGCCCGATTCCAGTTCTGGTGCTGCCAGTCACTGGTGAGACAGGCTCCACTCCTCTTCCAACAGGTCTCTGCAATGCACCTAACCTTTCTCTTCCTCTTTTTACAACTCTTAGCATTTTTTTAACCACTCTCCCATGATTTAATATATGTCGCCCAATGTAGAATGTCTTAAAAATCCACGTTGGGCTGGCCAAATAGCTCAGCAGATTAAAGCACCTGCAAGTAGGGCCAGGGGCCAGGGGTTCAATCCCTGGGCCTGCCATGCTGGCCCCGCCCCCGGGGTGCCCTGAGATGGCGATTGAGACTGGGTATGGCGGCGCGTGCCTGTAATCCTAGCTCTTGGGAGGCTGTAAACAGGCAGATCCCTATGAGTCCAATCTAGTAGTGAGACCCTGAACACCCTGTGGGCCTGTCCCTAACATTTAAAAAAAAAAAAAAACAAAACCACACACACACACACACAAAACCACCTTAAGGATACATATTAAAAGCATGCTGAAATCCCAAATTAAGATCTATTATTTTGTATAACTAATATGAACTCATAAAAATTTCTTAGCTCTAACACACCAACAAAGAAGTATGATGATCCATGACTTAGACTCTTCACTAAACTACAGACCACTTCAGGGCAAGAACTTACATTTCTTCACATCCCAAGAACACAGAGATTAGGGCTGGTGAGATGGCTCAGTGGTCTAAAGGACCTACTTAGAACAAGCTTAGCAAAGCACAGGGACCGCGGTTCAATCCCCAGCACCACATGCCAGCCAGCCCCGCCCCCTGGTGGGCTGAGCTGGCCACACACACACACACACACACACACACAAATAAATAAATAATTTTTTTAAAAAAAGAAAAGAACCTTCTACAATGGACCTTCCAGTTACAACCAGCCTGACATCTGAACACCTTGGGGCACGACCAGAATTTCAGTTTTAACTTACAGCCAAAGTCTTCACTTACGACCCGAGTGACAGCTACTTTTGCTTCCAGATGGTTTCAGATACAGAGCTAACCCTTAAAGAGCTCTGGAAGGAACACTCCAACAGCCTTTCCTGTACCCACACAACTGAGAGATCCCGGGCCAGTGTCTCTAAGACACAGAGATCTGCCTGAATGTGGAGAGGGACTTCAGGCTGTGTACAGCAGCCTGAGCCTTCACTGGACAACCTGAGCCACAGCCAGGCCTCAGGAACCACTTGAGTTTATAAGGCAAGAGTCCACTTTTATATCTACTTCTGGTTCCACTATCATCTCTCTTTTACAGTCCCATTACCTTTAGTAATTAAAGCCAAAACATAAGGATCCAGAAGCTATTCAAGCAAGTGGCATTTTAAAGACGATCTATATAAACCAGGTGCACATTCCTGTAATCCCAGCACTCAGGGGGCTGAGGCAGGTGGATCACTGAGAGTTTGAGGCCAGCCTGGGCTACACAATTCAAGGCCAGTCTGAGCCACATAGCAAGACCCTGTCTTAAAAAACACCACAAGGAGGGGCCGGGAGATGGCTCAGTAGAATAAGTTTAATCCCCAGTTCCACCAAAAAAACCAAACCAAAACAAAACACAAGGGGACAGGGAGATAGCTCAGTTATCTAAGTGGCTGCCTGGCAAGCACAAGGACTCAAGTTTAATCCCTGGTACCACATGCTGTACTGGCCCCCCACCAGCCACTATAATAGGGTGTGGTAGCACACAACTGTAATCCCTGTGCTGGGAAGGCCTAGACAGGAGGATCAGTATGAGTGCCACAGTGAGACCCTCTACCAAATAAAAAAATAAACCTAAACAAACAGAAAAAAAAAAAAAAGATGTGGTACGTACACAAAAATGGAACTACTAATGGGCTGGTGAGGTGGCTCAGTGGTCTAGAGCACCTACTTAGAACTTAGAAGCTAAGCTCAGCAAAGCACAGGGACCTCGGTTCAATCTCCAGCACCACATGCCAGCCCGCCCCGCCCCCTGGTGGGCTGAGCTGGCCACACACACACAAAATAAAAATAAAACAAAATGGGAATGTTAATTAAAAAAAAAAAAAA